CATAAAAACAGCATTTTAATAACAGCTAAAGGTGACATAGATACTTTGTTATGGTATAGTATTTAAATATATGTCTGAGAAACACATAATATTGCCCCTTTAAAAGTTGAAGTTGTAAATGTTATACAGAATGATTGTGATATAAATTGTTGGCCATTGTTTTGCTTGTGTGTTGTGTAATATTTGGTTTTGTTTGCTTTCAAATAGGCCCTCATTTTGAGAGAGCTTTCTGTGATCAGAGAMCGAGCTGGCAGCGCCTGTCTCAGGGAGCTCGACAAGAGCAACAGCCCCCTCATTATGGCTCTTTGTGGTTCCAAAGGTGAGCTTGTCAGAAAGGAAATTAATATTACAATTCTAGGTTGTTTTTTTTTCTGGTTAGGATTGTTAAAATGCCTAAACTTCACCACAATAACTTTAGGATTGTCTTTTCAACATGTTGAACATTTAAAGCGTGCTCAACAGGCCGTTGTCACAGAAACAAACACTATAAGGAGTTAGCTGCCCAGCGTGGCRTCTCCCCACTGCGCCACGTGGGCAAAACTGGAGGATTAGAGGGGGCTTCTAAGCCTGAATGACAGCAGAAACCCACTCACACAACAACAACAGTTAGCTGATTAAAGGGGTGCACAAACATTTTTGTCAGTCCTGGCAGCAGCTGAGTAAAAACTGGGTAGAAACAAAAAATGCTTTCATACTGCCAGTATGTACACTTTAACAAAGACAATGTTATTTTTTCTGTATTTAAAACTAAAATGATTAAGAATTCTTTACAGAAATACAGTGTGAATTACGATTAACTGCTGACATTTGTTGAAGGAAAATGCCAGGAGTTTGAACAAATTAACTGAGAAAAGCTGAATGTAGCTTAAGGAGAACTTGTAGGCTTTGAATCRGTTGTAGATCTAAAACGAAACACGMWGACAAAATGGAACATTAAAGTAACAGAATTCTTCTGTTTATCAAAGATTTTAATCAACAAAATGAAAATCTTTGTGTCTGTTACATGCCTATCCTTCAAATACAAAAAGTCAAAGAAAACATCTTTATTCTTAAGAAAATTGGCATAATACACATGATTTCACACATTTTGTCTCATAACCGGCCTATTTCCTTTTGGATTTGGCTCAGCCAAAGTGAAACAGGAAGTGACATCAAAGGGGAACTCATTAATAAAATAAACTCCCTGCTCTTTGTTTATTAAAACAGAATTATTTAAACTGTAACTCTTCTTCGTCTCTCTTCGATAGAAACTCAAAATAATCTAAAGGAACATCAGATTCTACTCTAGTCTGTGTTGTTGGCTGTTGTAACAACGCGCCGTCATTCCCCTTTGACATCATTTCCTGTATCTTGACACGCAAATATCTCAATGTATGTTCATCTCAGTGGCGGGAAAATAGTTTTGCAATATTTTATCAATGTCCTCTTTCCAAACATGCATTCAAGTTTATTACAAATAAATTGATGTCACGGGCACTTTAAACTACAATCATTTTAATAGGGGTGTAAGAAAATATCGATACACTGAAATATTGCGATATTTCATTTCCTGATAC